TATATATATACAAGATGTTTCAGTTTATTGTTGCTTAACTTTAAGATTCGATAGAACTTTTAAAATTAATGCATAAAGTCTATATAAACATGGGTCGAAAAATGCGTGGCTTCCGAAATACAGGGTGTTTAAATTTACTTTCTAAAATAGTTTTTTTTTAAATATTTCGAACAATATTTGATGTATAACAGTGAAAATTGGTATACAAGGGTTTTTTGGAACGACAAAACGAACCATGGGCATAGTTTTACTGTAGCCGCTAGAGGGCGCTCTCTACTGTACCTGTAGTGTATTAAAATGACCGAAAAATTTTTCTTAGTGCAATTTTTTGCTTTTTGAATAAAAAAACTGATTCTTTGCACTTTTCAACATAAAAAAGCTTTCTTGTGAGTTTTCGTTATAGTTAGCCGCTTTTGAGATATTTGATTTTTAAGGTTCGATGCATTTTTAATTATTTATGGGAAAATAATATTTTTTTTACAATTTCCATTTGGGCATTACAAGTAATTAAGATGATCGTTTAGATTGTGTTTTTAAACACAGCAATAATTCCTAACTCCAAATAAACACAAAAAACAGAATATTAATTTGTTTAATTTTTCAATATTATTTTTAACAAATTAAATTAATTATTTACAACTAAAATGCTATTGGATAGTTAGGACAAACATACAAAATCTAAAGTGGTTGCTCGAAATGTAAACCCAATTGTTCAATACACAATTCACATCTACGAATGATCGAACGTGGTATAGCATTATTCAAATAAGGTCTTATTTCATCACAAGCATTCCTATTAGCATATCTCTTCTGGTTTCGGGAGTCTGGTACACTTTTTCTTTTTTGAAATCCCCACAGAAAGAAATCTAAAGGATTTAGGTCAGGGGATCGTGGAGGCCAGGCGACTGGTCCTCCACGGCCGATACATCTTTCTGGATAACCATCAAGCTGGAACCAGGCCAATCTTCTTAAATCTAACATAACATCATCTCACATGTTTGCATGTTCAGCATTTAAAAATTCCAAGAAGGTCGCAGCATTTAACCTTGCAGGCAAAAAGGTAGGGTCCAAATAGTCGATTACGGTAGATACCAATCCACACGTTCACACTAAATTCATGCTGAAAATTTCTTTCCCGAACTGCATGCGGATTTTCATGCGACCAAATATGTTGATTATGAAAATTTACCACTCCACGTCTAGTGAAGCATGACTCATCGGTCCATAAAACGTTACTTAAAAACTCCCTATTATTATCAGTTCTATCAAGAATCCACTGACAAAATGTGATTCTTCGTTCTCCGTCCCCTGGCCGTAGTCCTTGCACAGGTTGCAAATGGTAAGGATGTCTATGGTCATTTCTAAGAACACGGTGAACATGGCTTGCGGAAATTCCCAAGGCACCAGAAACTCTCCTAACACTTGTGGTCGGATCTCTATCAAACTCACGCAGAATCAAAAGGGTAAATCTGCGGTGACGAACATTTATGTTTTGATCCCTTTGGAGATTTCCAAAACCATTTTCAATTATTTGGCGATGCACTCTTACAAATACTGAGCGAATTGGATGTCGTCTGTTTGGAAATCTTCGTGCGCATTCTCTGGCTGCTTCTGCTGCGTTTCCATTTACAAAGCCATACACAAAATGAATATCCGCTAACTCTTGGTTGGAGAATAAAAATGGCATTTTTATAAAACTTACAAAAAAAACAGGTAAAAGAAACTAAATTTCGTGCATTCACAATTGCAAAAAATGTTTCAGGTTTCAACAGACAACAAAACTAACTGGCAACTAATTGACGTTTAACCTTATTCTGCTTTCAATTTCAAAATTATTTGCAGGCACAGCCTACTTCTAAAAATTATCGAGATACTGACTTTTTAACGTAATTTTATGATAAATAATTAAAAATGCATCGAACCTTAAAAATCGAAATATCTCCAAAACGGCTAACTATAACGGAAATTCACAAGAGAGCTTTTTTATGTTGAAAAGTGCGGAGAATCAGTTTTTTTATTCAAAAAGTAAAAAATTGCACTAAGAAAAAAATTTCGGTCATTTTAATACACTACAGGTACAGTAGAGAGCACCCTCTAGCGGTTACAGTAAAACTATGCCCTTGTATACCAATTTTCACTGTTATACATCAAATATTGTTCGACATATTTAAAAAAACTATTTTAGAAAGTAAATTCAAACACCCTGTATTTCGGAAGCCACGCGTTTTTCGACCCATGTTTATATAGACTTTATGCATTAATTTTAAAAGTTCTATCGAATCTTGAAGTTATGCAACAATAAACTGAAACACCCTGTATATATATATATATATATATATATATATATTATTTAAGGTCTTCAAGTTTTGTTGTTTGTTAGTTATTTTCTGAGAGTCAATGTCATTAAGTATAATTAAGTGTAATGAGTATTAACTATAAAAGGTAAAAATGATGATTATAAGTAACTATTGCTATATTGTTAAGTGACCTGAATTATAAGAATTGATTAGGAACCCTCACTGAAATTTGTGTTCCTATAGAAACATTTTTTATCATTATATAAATAAGTATAACAAAATGAAAAATTTGTTGTATTCTACAGAAACCGAGGACATTTCACTGAAGTCATAATTACTGTCACATCCATGGATGTCCGTAGAGACATTTTATTTTTTCTTAATTTTCCCGAAAACTACAACAAAAATAGCTCGGCTCATATCTCGAGTATGTTAAAGGACATTGTACCTTTTATTTGAGACTACTTTGAACCAAATCAAATAACGTCGTTTTCTATAGAGTTCTTAGTCAGTTTTTGGGAATGGCCCATATCGCGCGTTTCTGGGTAGCAGGTGTGATACTGTGCCAACAGGTAGGTAATACTAGCATAATCACAATTTCGGAATAATAGAACGTGTTGCACTGAGGCGAAAGATGCAGCATTTACAACCACCTACACCCCTCAGCCATCAACTTTCAACCGCTAAGAAATTTTTTTCTGTGTGTGAATTCGATCAAAATCCAACCGGTACTTTCCCAGTACGAGGCGAAGGATTAGCATAACTGAACGTATCTCAAATTATAATTATTCAGTCGTTTTTAAGTATGCTTAAAAACTGATTCTTTAATTCGTTACCTGTCAATTTGCCTCTGCTCAAGGGCTTCTTCCGCCTTTTCCACTTTCCCTTCCATAGCATCTGTGGCTTCTTTGGAGTCTTTCCGCCTTTTTAACCTTGTGTTGTCTTTCTCTTTCTTGCCATTTCGTGCCTTTTCTTCCTTGGCATCTTTTCCCTCCTTTTTGCTAGTGGTGCTGGCCACAGTAGACAGGGAAGAGGCGCTTGAGGCACTTTCTCTCCTCTTTCTTTTCTTGGACTTGTGTTGCTTACTCAGTGCTTCTAAAGGTGACGGAGAAGGATCATCAACTGGTTTGGAGGTAGAGAGATGTGACTGTTGTGGCGGAGAGTCGGAGGACCTAGATTTAAGTAACGTGTTGTCACCATAGCATTCTGAAACAGAAGTAATCCAGTAAAATTGTGTTTCTACATGGGAAGTCTTGTGTCAAGCCCTAAGGAAAATCGTCTTCTTTTGTACCTAAAATAATTTACTCCATTTTCTAAAGACCAGGTCTTGAAGTTGTTCAAAATGGATTTTCCACTCCTCCTATCAAACTCTAAACTTATCACATTTTAATTAGTAATCATAAATATAATTATATTTATAATTATAATTATTATCAAAACCACCAATTTTTCCATGCCATTTTACAAAACTACCTCAAGAACAATCCTGCATCATCCTCTACTTAAATACAGTAGAATTCCACTGCGCGGATACCTCTCTTACACGGTCACCTCCATTAAACGCACTGTTTCCCATGGTTCCGACCAACTATCATATAAATTGCATTGTATTAACTTTCTCTTGGACGGACATTCTCTTGAACGGACGTTGACACGAGAAAATGTTATCCTAACCGGACAAAAAAGAAAATAAAATGAAACGCCTTGTATATATATTTTTTTCTGCTGACGGTATCGCTATTGCATTTATCAATCGTGCCGCCCACCATCTTGGTTGGGACTTTCTCGAGTAAGCTGAGGATTCACCGACTTTAATCTTTCGGAACAAACGCAGCATTTCTGCCCGGCGTGAATTAGGGACTTCCCCGAGTTGGTCAGGGATTCACAGTTCTTCTTTGGGTACACGCTTTCGATTGAATTTCCATTCAGTATTAGTCTGACGGTATGCGGAAAAGACACAGTGGGCGACACATTCATTGTAGAAATGGCTCCAAATTATGACAGAGTGTTTGCAAGACCTAGATTGGAAAATGGCTAAAGAAAAAAGTAACATTTTGATATTTTTGGACAATGTGGGATATCATCCAAAAGACATTCGCTTAAATAATATAAAAATCTTATTTTTGCCCCCTAATTGCACATCAGCTTGTCAACCACAAAGGATTATAAAGAGTTTTAAAACTTATTCCGAAGTCTAATACTCAAACAACTGCTAGGAAGCATTGAAACAGCTAGTATAGCTTTTGGTTAATAAAGAAAATTACATCCCTGGATGCAGTTTATTTGGCAAAGTCTAGCCATTAGCCAATCTACTCGATCAATATTTGGAAATGAATTAAGTATATACTATAAACTCTAATAATGAATTTTACTTGATACTTGATAAAGTATTAAATGCTTCTAAAATTTTGAGTTAGTGTGCATGAAATATATTCAACAAAGATTGTTACCGAAATGTCTGTATGTTTAAAATATTTGCTGTATCCCTAATATTGATGTCTAATGCATTATAATATTTAGCTGCGTTATATGAGCAAGAACGCTGAAACATGGCTGTGCGATCTGCTCATATACCTTAGATTCAAACCATGAATGCTTGTTCTAAATATTAGCTTATTCCATAAACGTAGTGGTGAACGAGTGGTCATAATAAATTTTATAAATGACAAAAATAAATATTTGGACAGGTTATTAATTTTGAGCCATCCTAAGGCCTCTTGTTCACGGCACGTTTTTCGCCGTAAAAATCTACGGTTAATTCGCCGTAGGTAGGCACGGTTATCAGTGTTGTATGGATCACAGTGGGAGCTTGTAGACATACACGGCAGCGCTACGTTACGGCAAAGCTGCCGTGCTCGCCGTGAAAGCCCCTCGGCGCGCCGCGTCTGGCGACGGCGTGATTTTCATCAGTGTTGTATCGCAGTGCATGAGAGCTTGTCGATGGTGCCGGACGTTTTCACGTTTTGGGAAAGATATTACACAGGCTGATGAAATAAGCGATAAAATGGACATCAATCAAGAAGTTCTTATAACATTAGTTCAAGAAAGGCCGGTGATCTGGGATAAGACGATAGAAGGTTATAAAAATAAACGCCTGAAGTTTGATTGCTGGAAAGAAATATTCGTACAATTGAATCCCGCATTTGAAGATTTAAGTGGTGAAGAAAAGAACACTTTTGGTTAGTAACTGATATATTTCTCACTTACAGTAATCCACTTAAGCATAGTTATTTTGATAAGACAGGCTACCTTCGTTAGACATAAAATATTGTGCAAATTTGTTGCGAACATCGTTAGCTAACAAATTTCCGCGAACTGCATTCGTCATAGGTAACTGTGTTTGTTCCGATTCTGATTCAAAGGTTGATTCTCTTTCACTCGTATTATCAAACTGAAACTTTTCCTCTTTATGTACAAAATTTTGTAAAATGCAACAAGCTTTCACAATATCCACAGCCAAATCGATGGAAACATTCAGTGGCCGGTGGAGAATACGCCATTTATTGGCTAAAATGCCAAAACCACATTCAACAAATCTTCGTGCTCTTGTGAGTCGATAATTGAACGTTCGTTTTAATTGGTCAAGTTGATGGCCTCCGAATGGACGAAGTAAGTGATAGTGCAGAGCAAAGGCTTCGTCTCCAACAAACACAAACGGTAATTTGTAGTCTGTTCCAGGCAAGCGGATTTCGTCGGGTAGGTTCAGTGTATTGTTTGTTAAGTTTTTCCAAAATGCAGTTTCTTTGAAAACACTGGAATCACATTCCTTTCCGTAGGCACCAATATCAACAAATATAAAATTGTAATCGCTATCTACTACCGCCATTAAAACTATAGAAAAATAATGTTTGTAATTCAAAAACATCGAACCACTATCCACTGGCTTAATCACTCTGATGTGTTTACCATCGACTGCACCTAAGCATAGCGGGAAATCAGAAGATTCTTGAAACTTGTTAGCTATTTGTAGCCAGTCTTCCTTAGAAGGCATTTTCATATACTCTTTGCACAGTTCTGACCAAATACACTGGCAAACTTCACGTACGATGCAACTTATGGTTTTTACTCCAATTCTATAGGTGTAGTGTAGGTCTGTAAACGTAGCTCCTGTTGCTAGGTATCTGAAATACAATGATAAAAATTAATTTTATTTACAGGGCAACATGTGATGAAAAAATGGACCAATATGAAAGATAATTGGATGAAATGTCATAAAAAAATGGGTGAATATAAATCTGGCGCTGGAGCACACAAAATAAGAAAATACAATTTTTATGATCAAATGCTATTCTTAAGCAAAATTGTAGAACATCGCAAGACTGATTCCAGTATGGATGAGCATGTTAATAGTTCAGGCATCAATAATGAAAATGCAGAACCGAATCCATCAAGATCACAGAACGGTAAAGCGAGTGAGGCTCCAAAGGCTAAGCAGAAGAAAAAAAATAATCAACTTAGTGAGGTTGACATTAAGTTTATGAAGTTTATGGATGTAACGGCACAGGAGGAGAAAAGCCGCAGTATGAACTTTTTTAGAGGAATTTCTGATTCAGTTGACAAGTTTACTGATGAAAACATAATAGACTTCCAGTTTCAAGTCATTTCAATAATTAAAAGCATACAAGAAAGAGAAAATAACCGATATATAGCAGCACCTAGAAACCAATGGGATCATGGCCAGCAAGGATATCAAAGCGGCACAACACCTGCGAATTCACAGTTTTCAGTGTATGGGCATTCCACAGCTGCTCGATCAGGCTTTGGAATCAATGGCCAGGAATACGATTTTGGACATAGCTCTGGTTTAGAGCCCATCCCCAACCGACCAGAATCGCAAGCATCTGCTCAAAGTGTGAATACAGAAAGTACCTCTGCAAATTCTCAAGCCAGTACTGAAGAATTCGATTTTAGCTCTGCATTTCGGGAGCATCTTTAGCTTCAACTTAGTTTTTTTACGTAACTTATAATCATTCATAGTACAAGTTCGTTTGAGATACAAGGCTTTGTATTAATACATAAATTTAAGTAAAAGTATTTAGTTTGATTTTTTACTTACCTCAACGTTACAGCCAATCTTTCTGCGGGAGGTATGCTTTGTCGCATATTGGTATCTTGGTGCTTTAATTTCTGTGATAATTTTTGCAGCAGTTTATCGAAAGTTGTTTTCTGCATTCTGAAATAATTGTAAAACTTGGCTTCATCCTCCCTCAATTGATTCTTGACAAGCGTATGAAATGCGCCTAATTCTCCCCGTTTTTTCAAGATCGGGTGTATCCAAAACCTTCTTTTTCTTCTCTCTTGTTTTTTCAGTCTTCTATACACATAGTACGCAAGCACAATCTTTTTCTTAGGATTCATGGCGAGGACTTCTATAGTTTGCCGCAGAAAAGTCTCAACTGAGCTCACTTGGATTCATTCGACGGGCACCTTTGCCGTGCCCCGTGCAAGCTTGCACGTTTTTGTAACCGTACGGCAAATTTGCCGTACGGCAAAAAAAACGTGTCGTGAACAAGAGGCCTAAATCTTCGACTGGGCCAGTTACATGATCATATTTCCTTAGATTTATTAGTCAAGCGGCAACAAAAATTTTGAATTTTGTGTAGTCTGTAGGCAAACATTTAATCTAAGCAAGGAATACGTTATGACTCCATATAAAATTTTGGAAATAATGATTCACATAATCGTCCTTTTGTTTTAAAGCTGAGGAATTGCCTATTTATGATTAATTTTAGTAGATGTATTAATGTAAGCAATGCATATACATTTAATATTTGTAATGTGTAGAATAAGTAGGTCTCACTCACCTTGTGTACGGACTTTTTTTATAGCGGGTTAAGTGGAAGAGCAGCTACAGCTGAACTTCGCCCGTATTTGGCTATTTTTTTATATAATCAGTCCATTTGTAAATAAAGACGTTTATTATTATTATTATATATAATAGTTTCAGCCTAAAATAGCATGTTTTGATGACGCTGTTAACATGTGTGTGAAAACGCAGGTCTTCATCTATGAGTAGACCCAAACTTTTGCATACATGATTAAATTTTGAATCTGTACGGCTTATTTTCAGGTTCTGGCTTGGCTTATGATGTCTGTTTTTCTTTCTTGCAAAATAGTACATTTGATTTTTGAGGATTGAGTTTCGTGTTATTAATAGCAGAATAGTTATTAATACTTTCAAGATCAATATTAATTTTAGCCTCATCTATTTTGAAATCATCAGGTGGTATAATTGAGTCTCATCGGCATAACAAGTTACACTAGAGTTTTTCATTTTGACGACCGATCAAACATATATATCAAGTACAAAAGCGGCCCTAGGACTGACTCTTGTGGTACCCCTGAAGGAATATTCCTTAAATTCAAAGTAAGTACACTTGGCTTGAAGTAGCCTATGGTCTCGAATGCCTTACTAAAATCATAAGAAACAAGAACTGTTGCCAGGTTGTTATCCAAATTGGAGATTACATCATCAACTATAACAGAGCCGAAACAGTGCTACGTCCTTTTCGAAAGACGAACTGCTCCTCAGGCAGTATATTGTTAGTACAACTGAACTCTAAAATTTGTTTGTAGATTATTTTCTCTAATACTTCGGAAAGAACTGGTAAAAGGCTGACAGGTCTTAAGTCACTAACTTGTTATGTGGATTGTTGGTTGTAGGGAGTGGCATAATTAGTCACACTTTCCACAGTTGGGGAAAATATCCTGTCTCTATGCAGCAATTTACAATGTGAACCAAGGAAATGGCTGGGAGGCATAATTTCATCAATTGAACAGACAAGCCATCCACGCCTGAAACATTAGATTTTATCAAAAACACCATGTGTATTGATAGTTCTTAAGACTAAAACTTTTTTGAATAGTGGGTTTTGAATTTGAATAGTGCTTAATTTCATCTTCACATGATAAATCATTTGAGTTAAAAACAGATGCAAAATAATCATTAATAAGTTACACATCAGTTATCCCACCAGGTATCTCCCTTATACTGGAAGTCTGAATCCTCATTGATTTTTAAAGCTTTATCAAAACGTTTTGGGTTGTTTCAGTTACTTAGATAAGACTTTTTTCTTTTATCAGGTTTGATTTCCATTGGTTTCTTAAAACTTGTTAGCCAAGGTGATTTAGGCTTTGTTAGACAAATCGTTCGATAAGGGGCATGAATATTAAATAGTTTTCTAATATTATCAGTGAGGAAACGTATTTTATCATCGATATAGTTGATAAACAGTACATCAGACCAATGGACGTTAAATAAATCGAAGTAGAATAAATCAGTGAGAAAGTTCTTCAAATCTCTATAAGTAATCAGTTTCGGCGTTATGGTTGGTTTTATGATGATACCAGTTTGGCTAGTAAGGAAAGCACTTTTGAGAAATATAGAGTCTAACTAAGTTGCTGAATGATCAGTTAGCCTTGTTGGCTCATTATTGTAGCAGGAATTAGAAATAGTGGTATAACTCAAGCAAAAAAAATATATTGATCATGTTTTTTGCCTATTATTGGAAATTATATGTTAATATTAACATGTCACATGTTTTAATTTCGCGGTTGCAATATCTTTGAGGTACATAGGGGAAACCGATCCAAGGCGAACATCCTGGGAAAAATCAAATTTCCTGTTTGACAGCAAAATCATAATTTTCCCATCGTGAAACAGTATATAGACTTATTCGTTCAAACTTCTCGAATAATCAGTATAAGAACCCGCGTGCTTATTTGACTAACAGACAGCGTAAAATCTAGTTTTTCAAAAAAAAAATTTTACAAGATAGGGGTTGTGCGTGTAATTGCATTTCTACACTATCTAACGGACAACTTTCTCGAGTGTTTAGTATATATTTAAATGACTACCTCAATCTTACAATATGGAGCATTGATGTGTTAGAAAGAAACAAGAAATCTCTTAATTAGGGATTTCCGGCAAAGCGGATAAATAAGGCAAAAGGGATACTGTATTCGCTCCTTGTTAGTGAATCTAAAGTTGGCATAAATCATGTAAAAATGAGAACAGATTCACTTTAAACACTACGTGAAAAGGGAGCTTCTTAGTGTAATTGTGCCTAAATATAGGATTTGTGGAAGATTTAACGCAGAAAAGTTCAATTTTCCATCTTAAAAATCTAGACATAGTTTTGATCATTGTCAAAATATGAATCAAATACAAGCCCGTAGAAATTGGGTAACTAATTTGCACGATAATCACAATAAAATTTGCTGCGCAAGTAATTCAATAGCCCTATATCAAAGTGTAGAAGTTTATCATAATATACTTGTGTATGAAATTCACAATGGCCGATATGTAAGTAAACAAGATGACTGTAATGTGTTAGTTATATATTCAGACTTCGTCTATACAATACATAGGAAATAGTTTGGTTGCAATAAAGTAGAATCACGTAAGAGAATAGTTGTATAGTTGACAAAAACTTAATCTTGCACTGACGCAAATGTCCTATAGCGGCTGCAAGAGGCTTACACTTTTGTTTTATAACTGTTACCTGCAGCCCTTATACAACCTCTTAAATGACTGAAGTGTCCTATTAGGTGTGCCCATTCCGCTTGTATAGCTGTTCTAAGAGGGTTTTGCTAATGTTCTTACAGTATACAATGCTGTTTAAGGAATACTGTATAATCATTCTTGCAACTCTAATAGGAGTGATAATTGTTAGTTGGGAATCAGGAGGCAGCGACTAGGTAAGCTGTTTAATGTGTGTTAATTGCGAACTGTTGACAACAGCGAGTCTGTTGAAATCAGTAGCATATCCAGAGCTACCAAATACTGGTTAAACTTTTTTAATTCTTAGATAACTTGGAATGTAATTATAATCATTTGCAGTTATATGAATTTGCTCGTACTAGTTGTATAATAATAATAATAAATAATAAGAATAATAATAATAATAAATAATAAGAATAATAATAATAATTTATTCACATTAATTAAAAATTGTGAACAAATTCATATGCCACAAAAGGAAAATATCCTTTATATGTGGATATCATGCTAACACAACATGTATATAACATAGCAGTTATAATAAACTGATATGACTAAAAAAAAGTATAAAAGTATACCGAGTCTTTTCCAATTATTACTATAAGCAAAACTACTCTCATTTAAAAGTTTCGCTAACAAGTAAAAAACGAGGAACGTGACTGACACTTGACGGTATCAATTATTGTGAATGACACTAAATGAACAGCTACTAAGTAAAAGTTAAACCTACATTCATGTTTCATTCAACAGCCAGAAAATATGGAGATAATCTAATCATATTAGCAAATTTCCTCGAAATAATTGTAAAGTCTGGTTTTATTGATGCAAGTTGTTCAAGGGGGTATTTAAAACATGGACGCATAAAATGGGTACACCATTTTTTGTGGGAAAACTTTTGACATATTTGACAACAAAGAATGAGAAAACGTGTTTTTTGGGATTCAATCGAAAGTGTTGACAGGAACGAAAAAACTTTTGATATAAAATTTTTAGGTATTTATGAGACCTACAAATTGAGACTGCACGTAATATGATCCGACTTATAGCAAACATGTTATGGCCGAAAAACGAGGCAAATTGCAAGTTTTGGCACTTCTTGGTAATGCGGCGATAATTGCATGAATACCACTTGAACAACTTGTAGTAATAAAACCAGACTTTACAATTATTTCGCAAATCAGAGGTATTTTCGTCTAATATGATTAGACTAAGATTTGTCAGCACGACCACAGGATAAGCTTCAGATGTTACATGAGCTGCTACTTGTTGTCAGGTTTTTATGTACGTTTTATTCTATTCTTGATCTGACAGCAGAAAATATGAAATACTAATAGTATTACAGTATACTTACCGAAATTTTCATCTTTCACCTTCTCCTCTAACCTCCTCCTCACATCTGGCATAAGAGAGATATCAAGCCGATCCAACTGTAT